ATAATATTTTTAATGGGTGTACAGTATTTTTACCTTTGATGTCTTTGCATTCATCTGATTCAGGTGGAAGATGCTTCAAGTAATCTAAAAGGTAGAAAAAAATAAGGGACAAAAGGTAATGGACCTCAGGGTTTAATACTAGTTAATACATTTGAAATTAGTTCATGTTCTAACCTTTTAATAATAATCTGTAGCTTGGTATTCTCTGCACTGGCTTCAGCATAAATGATATGAGGAACAGGCCTTTGCATTTCTCACTAGCCTGGAAAAATCAAAGCATGGAAACTTAAAAAACACTAGCTTTGAGAAAATGGGAGTTTGCACTGCTAATACCCTGTAAATGCGCTGCCTCCTCGGGTGGATCCGTAGAAAGGGGTGGAGAGTAAAATTCGGCACTGYCTAAGCTTCACCATTGAATATGCAAAACAAATCCAGAGTTGGTCTAGGAAAAGCTCCCAATGAAATCCCTAAAATATGGTTTCTAATGCTATTTTCTACCTTCTGGGGATATTTTGGACTAAAAAGGTAAAAATAAGGAAGGAGGAAAACCAGAGATAGATATGACTTGTCTGGCAGATAGTTTGTGGTTCCAATTTCGTCAAGTTTCTCTCTTTATTTAAGAATTTTTCTCCAAATTCTCTGTTTCTCCTCCCTCCCCAAAATCTAACAATTCTATTTAACCAGGGTAGCCCCTTCAGTTACTAGAAGATGATAAGGGAGAGAACTGACTCTGCTTACAAACGTCGTTGACTCCAGGAAATGATCATGAGTTCCCAGAGGTGAGACCAGTCAGCTGACATAAGAAGGGAGTGACCCTTTGTAAGGCATGGCTATACAGTATATTGGTTGCTTTTAAACATGTTGCACACCTGAAACTGATGAACAAGCTCAGCAAATTGTGGATTCTCTTTGGTTGTCTCTTGTAGCACATTCATAGCTTTATCATAGTTATTGATGTATGTTGTGTATATCTGGAAAAAAATAAAATACATCATGATCTCCACAATTATTCCTAAAAAGATCTAAATACTCAATTACTGTTTGGCTATAGTTATTTATGGTACTGATGCCCACAAAGTATAAAAGATTCAAAGTTTAAGGGAGATTGACATTGACTCAAAAGATGAAAGTTTCTGGGATGGGGGGAACCAAGAGACATACTTCGACGGCAATTTGCAAATTCCTGCATTTTTGCTGTCATTCCAGCATAGAAGGAGAGTACAAGCAAGGGCAACTACACATGAACTTCCACTAGATTCTCTACTSCTAGATCTAGAGATACTACTAACAATTATTACCTTGAGAAAATGTCCATACTTTTTAACAATATCTCCTATTCGCTCATGTTCATCCCTGGTGATCAAGATAAACATCAATCAAAACTCTACTCTAATGCTTAGCACTTGACCTTAATTCATGATGAGTTTTAGGTAAAATAGTTGTCATTAATAACACTATTTAAATGTACTTTCTTCACACCAACAAGGGTAATAGGGCATTGGAATAATCAAGGGTGGTGTAGTAGTACTGCACTTGGGGACACCTTTGGGGTCTCTGGTTTGATTCCTGGACTTGACATCACATGGCAGCAGATAATTTTATGGTTTCAATTTTGCCTAGTCTCTCCCTCTATTCAAGGGATTTTTACCAAATTATCTGGTTTTCCTCCCTTCGCAAAAACTAACAATTTGAATTCCAATTCAATCTGTGAGTTAGCTTTACCCTGACTTTAATCAGCCCAGAGGTTGTTTTAGTATTCCATAAAATTTGAAGCAAAATAGATAATCCCCTTTTCCAACACACATACACACAGCTGCTAATGTTAAAMCAGAACTCTTCATGTGAAATAGGTARATCTAGAAAGTAACATTTCTCAAAGCCATACCATGTTTTCATTCTTTCTTCTAATTCTTGTAGAAAGTTAGAGTCTAATTGATAAATGTTTCCCAGATCCTTGAATATATCATTTAGAACTGATTCTGGGACAACGTCTGCACTTCTAATGAGACCATAGCAGTCCTGGCATCATCAAAGAAATAGGTTGTATTAATTTTATATTTGTTGTTAATACTCTATTGCACTTACTCTCCAATCTCCAAAACAATGCAATCTTGGATGCATTAATTAAAAAATAATATGTTATTGCACCTCACAAAAGAATTTATTAATCTGAAAGTAAGCTTGAAGGAATTTTACATTGGTGTAAGGTGTAAGGTGCAACACTTATTGTCATATGAGGATGACACTATTAAAATTGGCATGTTGGACATACAAAAATAGCATTTTAGATGCCATTGTTCTGCTTGTCACTGAGATTTCCCATACAAGTGGGGAAACATAAGRCACTTTGACTCATAAACAGCTTCTGGATTAGATCATTGTGATTGGATGGTTCCAAGCATAAGTCACATAATGTATCTTTACCTCRTAACACAGAGTAAGTGCATTAACAAAGGTCTTCTCAGTTGAAAGAATTTCATGAGCAATAAAACATGTTTTCTTCTTTGAAGGGCCAGTGGGCTGCAAAAAGAAGG